CCCCCCTCTAATCCCCTCCGCCCCCGGGCCCAGCCCTACCGAGCCGGCCCGTCTGCTTGGCCTTCTTGTTGGCGCGGCGCGTGTCGTCCCGCAGCTGGATGATGACCTGCAGCACGCGCAGGAAGAACTTCTGGGTGGAGGTCTTGGAGGTCAGCATGGACATGGAGGGCAGCTGCAGCTCCCGCCCGCCCAGGGGCCGCTTCTGGGAGGCCACGATCACCACGTTCTCCGCCGTGTCGAACCTGCCCGGGAGGGGGGTTAGCAGGGGCGGCGGGGGGGGGGGAACACGGCACGGGGGAGCCGGGGGCGCATCACTCACCGGCTCTGCATCTTGCCCTTCAGCTTGGTGGTCTGGGGCTGCTCGTCGGGGAGCCCGTCGGGGGAGAGCAGCTCGCACTGCGCCCGCCGCTGCTGCTCCAGGTTGTACTCGCGCAGCTCCGCCAGCAGCGTGCCTGGGGGGGGAGCGGGGGGTCAGTGCCTGCAGCCCCCCAGCACCCCAGGCCCCACCCTCTCCCCACGCCCCGCCCCGTTACCGATCTGCTTGCAGAGGGTGTAGCCCAGCTGGCGGGCTCCACTGAGCAGCAGCCGCAGCACCGTGTCCCGGGTGGGCGAGTCGCCCCGCGAGAGCTGGAGCAGGACGTTGGCTGCATCCTCCAGCCCCTCCTCCGAGCAGGAGTGAGACGTCAGCACCTGGGGGGAGGCACAGGGGTGAGCGGGGGGGAGGGCACCGGGCGCCCCCGCCCCCACCCGGGCACTGCCCCGCACTCACCTCTACCGACAGCTGCAGCTGGCTTTCCGTCAGGCCCGACGCCACCATCTTGCCGTCTGTCCCGCCGCCGCCCGCCTCGCCCGCCTTGGCGGGAGATTTGCTGCCCTTGGCGGGAGCTGCGGGAAAACACCGGGGGGTTAGCGAGGCCCGGCCCAGGATCCATGAGGACCTGGGCGGGACCCCAGCTGGGACCCTGTGCCCCTCGCCCCAGAACCCCCCCGGGGCAGGGCAGTATCAGGATCCCACCACCCCTCAATCCCAGAAGTCTCTGGAGTCGGGGAGAGACCAGCCCCCCCTCCCACAAACCCCTCAATCCCAGACCCCCCTGAGGCAGGGCAGAACAGGATCCCACCACCCCTCAATCCCAGAAGTCTCTGGAGTCGGGGAGAGACCAGCCCCCCCTCCCACAAACCCCTCAATCCGACCCCCCGGGGCAGGGCAGAATCAGGATCCCAGCAGCCCCCGGGGCCCAGAGACAGTAGGTGTCCCCCCTCACCTGGCACGGTGGGGGCAGGGGCAGGGGCAGGGGTGGGGGCGGCGGCCCCGGCGGAGGGCGCGGTTGGGGCGGGGGCGGTGCCCGGCCCCTCGGGCGCCTTGTTCTCCGGCAGGGCGATGGAGATGAGCGACAGCAAGCGCAGCAGCTTCTCGGTCAGCAGCGAGCTGCGCCGGATGACGGGGTGCGAGAGCATGTTCATGAGCTGGCCCAGCGGCGAGGCCTCCAGGCTGTAGGGGGAGCTCTCACCCTCGGCGCCCGCGCTCACCGGCACCGACTTGACCGAGTTCTTGCCCTTGCGGCTCACGTTCATGTTGTCCAGTTTGACCAGCAAGTCCCAGAAGTCGGTGGAGATGCCACTGGCCTGGCCAGGGCTGCCCGACTGCCTGGCGCCCCGCTCCCCCTCGCAGGGCGTCTCTTTGGGCCGCTGCTGCGTGAAGTGGCTGGGGAACACCTGGGGAGAGGGGAGAGTCACAGCCTGGGGACGGCTGGTGTGGCGCGGAGATGCAGCTGCCTCTGGGGTGGGGGGCAGCTTGGAAACAGCCGCACATAACGCCACGTGGGACTGATTGCCGGGAGAGAGCGATCAGCCCAGCCCCTCCTCCCCCCCCAATGCCCAGCTCTGACTGGGGAGAACGCCCCCTGCCCAGCCCCTCACCCTCCCAATGCCCAGCCCCCACCAGCGCCCAGCCCTGCCAGGGGAGAGCTCCCCTGCCCCCCCAGTACCCAGCTCTGCCAGGGGAGAGCGCCTGCTGGCCAGCCCCCCACAGAACGGCGCCCGCCAACACCTACCCAATTGCCACAGAAGAGCTCCCCCTGCCCCCCCAGTGCCCAGCCCCGCCCCCTCACCTTGGCCAGCTGGATGAGGGTGTCCAGCACGTGGCGACACACCACGGGGGCGGCCTGCGGGTGGATGTGGACGGCGGCGCCGGCGGCGGTGCCGGCGGCGTGCTTCTCCGTGTGCTTGCGCCCGCCGGCCCGCTGGATCTGGAAGATGTTGGTGCGGCAGCCCAGGGCGGCGTCCATGGAGACGGAGAGCCAGGAGAGCTGGCCCGAGCTGCGGGCCTCCATCTTGTGCAGCAGCTCCAGGGGGCGGCCCTCGGGGGCCCCGGCCTTGGCGGCCCGCTTGCCCCGCTCGTCCGGCGGCCCCTTGGGCGTCTCCAGGCAGGGCTCGCTCTCGCTGCTGCGCTGCAGGATGGACAGCAGGCTGCGGATCACCCAGCCCCGCGTCTGGCCGTGGTAGCAGAGGTTGCGCAGCACCCGGTGCAGCCGGCTCGTGTTCAGCTTGGGCTCGTCCACGAACAGCAGCACCAGCAGGCAGGACAGCGCCTCGTGGTCCAGCAGCAGCCGGCCCCGCAGCCGCAGGAGGCTGTCCACCGTGCTGCCCGACGGCCTGGGGGGAGAGCCGGCTCAGACAGCGCGGGGGGGGGCTGGGCGGCTACCGCCCCCCACGCGGGACACCAGCCCCCACTCCCCTCCCGGAGCCCGGCATGGAACCCAGGCGTCCGGGCTGCTACCGCCCTCCCTCACCGGAACCACCAGCCCCCACTCCCCTCCCAGAGCCCGGCATGGAACCCAGGCGTCCGGCCTGCTACCGCCCCCCCCTCACCGGAACCACCAGCCCCCACCCCCCTCCCAGAGCCCGGCATGGAACCCAGGCGTCCGGCCTGCTACCGCCCCCCCCTCACCGGAACCACCAGCCCCCACCCCCCTCCCAGAGCCCGGCATGGAACCCAGGCG